AGGTGGGCCAGAGGTGTCGGAAGTGACCTCCAAAGGCTCAGCCAAGGGGGGGGGGTTACCTGGAAACACCTGAGGGAGCCGGACCCTGAGGGGGGAGGGGGTCTACCGGGGGGGGACCTGGCGCAAGAACAGCGGCGGGGGGGAAGGGGGGCAGTGCGGTAGGGGAAGAGACGGTAGTACGGAACCGACTCGTCAAACGTGACGTCCTGGGAGGACAGAACACGGCGCGAGGTGGGGTGCTAAATCTGCAACCAGGCGCGTCAGGGGGGGGGAAGCCAAGGGAAGACGCAGACAGGGGACAGCACGGAGGACATCTTGTCCGCAGACAAGTCTCGGACAAAAGCCCGAGATCCCCAGACACGGAACGCAGACGCATCGCCAACCTTCCCCGTCCACAGCAGAGTGGGGGAGGTCTCCGGCATGGAGACCCGGGGCTGAAGGTTGATCTGACGCGCCGCGTACTGAACCGCAAACGGCCACAGAAAATGGGGAGCAACCGCATGGATCATGGAGGTACGAGCGACATCCACGACCATGCCAAAAAGCCCGAGATCCCCAGACACGGAACGCAGACGCATCGCCAACCTTCCCCGTCCACAGCAGAGTGGGGGAGGTCTCCGGCATGGAGACCCGGGGCTGAAGGTTGATCTGACGCGCCGCGTACTGAACCGCAAACGGCCACAGAAAATGGGGAGCAACCGCATGGATCATGGAGGTACGAGCGACATCCATGACCATGCCAATGCGGCGCTCAGCAATCCCATTTTGCTGCGGAGAGGCCGGAAGCGTGAACGTCTGGCGAATGCCCCTCGCACGACAGTAGGCTCGCAGAGGGCCGGAGGAGAACTCCCCACCTCTGTCGGAGTGCAGACGCAAAACAGGAAAGTCAGAGCGGAAACTCTTCCTGAGCTGGAGACGAGCAGCGCGGATCCAGTCGATCAACACCTCAGTGACCTCATCCTTGCGGCGCAAGGGGAAGACTGTGGTGTAACGCGAGTAATCGTCAACCACCAGCAGGAAGTAGCGCTCGTGACCCTGTCCACGGACGCGGGCTGGGCCCCACACGTCCATGTGAAGAGTCTGCAGCGGAGCCTCTGTCGGCGGAAACTCGGAGGAGTGAGGAGCGGCGCGCTGCCGCCCCTCGACGCAGGGGACGCAGGTAGGGGCAGGCCCCGGGGGAAGGGGAGGGAGCGACCGGGGGAGACCAGAGACCAGGACACGAGAGGCCATGCCTCGGAGACGAGGCAGGGAGGGGTGACCAAGACGGTGGTGCCAGAGAAGAGTCTCGTGGGACAGGAGGCGACACGAGCAGGGGGCAGACTCAGGACCAGACCGAGACGCCGCAGCAAACACCTGACCTGACGCAGCTACCTGACCAGGCACAGCAACCGGAGGAGACTCGGTAGTGAGGGTGTACAGGCTCGACCCCGGCCGACGGGTAAACGTGGCCAAGTGTCGGCCCGTGTCCGCACACGTGCAGTGGGTCACCCGCTGACGCGCAGGGGTGAACTGGTCAACCCCCCCATCCTGTAGGTCAGCACCCGCCACCAAGTTCGTAGAGAACGAGGGGAGGTAAAGACCCGACAGGGAGCCAGACGGGACTGCTGGACACGGTAAGGACAGTGGAGTAGGGGGCAAGAACAGGACCCCCCAGAGGGTCTGCCAGGGAGACCGCAAACCGGCCGACTGAGCGGCGTGAGAGTGGTGCGGTCTCGAAAGAAGGAGCGGGAAGCACCCGAGTCAAGGGTGAAAGTGTGCGACGCCGGAGCAGACGTGGTACCTGAGAGAGCAGACTCACAAGCACCTAGAGCAGCAGACTCACTAGCACCTGGAGCAGCAGACTCACGAGCACCTGGAGCAGCAGACTCACTAGCACCTAGAGCAGCAGCTGCACCGCCCGGGTCGGGCGGAGCACTCAGGGAACAGTCACCGACATCACTAGTAGACAATGCATACATGGCAGTGAGGATAGCATCAAAGTCAAGAGCATAGATATCTACCCTCTGCCGGAGCAGCTCCACCCAGTCGGGGAGCTCAGCCGCAAACGTCCCGCAAGGCTGGCCAGTCCGAGCACCAGTGCGAATGACGTACGCAGCAGCGAGCAGAACCCCGACCCCCCCCCCCTCTGAAAGTACCACTCATGAAGCTGCGGGGGCGAAGGGACCGCGCGCACACGACGCTGCAGCTGCACCTGGCCACTACAAGAAGCCCCGAAACTACTCACGCCAGAACGACTCCCACGACGGCCACCCCGACAACCCCAACGAGCGTACCACTCATGAAGCTGTGGGGGCGGGGGGGCTCACGTGGACGGCGCTGGAGCTGCATCTGGCTAAGCCATGAGGCAGCAGCGGCAGTAGAAAGAGTAGTAGCAGCAGGAGCAGCAGTAACAGCAGTAGCAGCAGGAGCAGTAGAAGCGCAGTAGCCGTAGGAGCAGCACGAGCAGCAGTAGCAGGAGAAAGAGCAGTAGCAGCAGGAGCAGTAGTAACTGGTACGGGCAGGACAGTGCTCACCAGTGGCAAGAGGGCTGGCGCACAACGGCGGCAACGGCGAGGCCGGCACCCTGGAGGGCGAGGACTCCGCGGCAGCTGCAGGTGGCAGCTGCTGCAGGGGCGGCTGCTCCAGGGGCGGCTGCTGCAGAGGCGGCAGCTGCACCAGGGGCGGCAGCTACAGATGGGTGGCTGCACCAGGGGCGGCTGCACAAGGGGCGGCAGCTGCAGAGGGGCGGCTGCACCAGGGGCGGCAGCTGCAGAGGGGCGGCTGCACCAGGGGCGGCAGCTGCAGAGGGGCGGCTGCACCAGGGGCGGCAGCTGCAGAGGGGCGGCTGCACCAGGGGCGGCTGCACCAGGGGCGGCTGCACCAGGGGCGGCAGCTGCGGCAGGCCCGGTGGCGGCAGCTGCTGCAGGTCCTGCGGCGGCAGCTGCGGCAGGTCCAGTGGCGGCAACTGCTGCAGGTTCAGCGGCGGCAGCTGCTGTAGGGCCGGCGGCAGCAGCTGCGGCAGGACCAGTGGCGGCAGCTGCTGCAGGCCCGGCAGTGGCGGCTGCTGCAGAACCAGCGACGGCAGCTGCTGCAGGCCCGGCAGCGGCGGCTGCTGCAGATCCAGCGGCGGCAGCTGCTGGAGATCCGGGCGGCAGCAGCTGTTGGAGGTGCGGTGGCGGCAGCTGCTGCAGGCTCAGTGGCAGCAGCTGCTGCAGATCCAGCGGCTGCAGCCGCTTCAGGCTAGGGGCAGGGCCGCAACTGAGGCGGCAGGGGCAGGGGCGGCAGCAGAAGTGACTGGAGGGCCGCGAAGGGCGGTGGCGGGGCCGCGGGGTGGCCGCAGAGGGCGGCGACGGGGCCGTGAGGCCGCGGAGGGCGGCGACGGGGCTGTAAGAGGCCGCAAGGGGCTGCGACGGGCCAGGAAGGGGCCACGACGGGCCAGGAAGGGGCCGCGACGGGCCAGGAAGGGCCACGACGGGCCAGGAATGGGCCGAGAAGGGGCTGGGAAGGGGCCGCGACGGGCTGGGAAGGGGCCGCGACGGGCTGGGAGGGGGCCGCGATGGGCTACGAGGGGGGCCACGACGAGCCGCGATAGGGGGCCACAAAGGGGCCGTGAGAGGGAGGGCCGCGAGGGGCAGTTTAAGGGGCCGCGAAATGGCAGTTTAAGGGGCCGCGAAGGGCAGTTTAAGGGGCCGCGACGGGCAGTTTAAGGGGCCGCGACGGGCAGTTTAAGGGGCCGAAATCGACGGGCAGGGCGCAAAGGCGCTTCGGGCAGCTAATAAACAGGTTAATGTGGTGGGCCCTTGCTCTATACCATGTGAAATAAGAGAGGAATGAATTGGTTAGGTAAGGGGAGAGGGATACAAGACAATCGAGAGAGTTGGGTTGTACCCTCTAAGGTATCACCCCTACACAACCTAGAGAGAAATAATCAGAAACATATAATTTGACACATATGTCTTATCTCGTACACACAAATAGGTGTCTTATAATGAGGCTAGCCTGTTTATAAGAGACACCCGTATAGTAGACAACCCCTGTCTACTATTCAACACTGTCTTATATCCGGGCGATTACGATATGTCTAGATTTTTCCGTTTCTGTTTTACTTAAACAGTACTGACATTTCAGAGTTTTGGGTTAACGTCAGCCCTGAAGTTTCAAGAGCCTCTCATCTCATTCTTTCCTTGTTCGAGCCGTGAGACTGAATACAGGAGTTACGCAGGTATTCCCTCACACATGCAGAGGTGGCAGCGCTGAATCCTATGGTAAGCACGCTAGAGGTAACCAATGGAAAGAAAGGATGCGCACTAAACTCAAACGAAGCCTTGAGCACCGTCCCTGCCCCAATCATTGCCATGGCGTTGCTGGCACACGCACGCTCCAGCTGCTGCATCTCCCCCCCACCGCCTCACACATGCAGAGGTGCTGTTGAGCCTAAGTAAGCACGCTTGAGAGTAACTACAGGGAAGAAAGAATGTGCGCTAAACTCAAACGAGGCTTTGAGCACCGACCCTGCGCCAGCTGAGCCTCAAAGAGCTAGAGCCTAAGCACATTTGACCACGGGGAAGAAAGGATGCACTGTGAACTCAAACGAGGCTTTCAGCACTGACCCTGCGCCAGCCCTGTGCACCACAAACAACGCTGTTGTTGAGGCCTAAGCACGCTTGAGTGTGACCACAGGGAAGAAGGGATGCAGGGTGAACTCAAACGAGGCTTTGAGCACCGACCCTGTGCCCGCCCTGTGCGCCACAAACAATGCCGTTGTTGAGACCTACGCGCGCTTGAGAGTAACCACGGGGAAGAAAGGATGCGCACTAAACTCAAACGAGGCTTTCAGCACCGACCCTGCACCAGCCCTGTGCGCCACAAACAGCGCCGTGGCGTTGCTGGCACACACACGCTCCAGCTGCTGCCACCTCCCCCTCCACCCCGCCTCGCTCACTCCCGCGGTGCCCGCAGGTGCGGCTGCAGCTGCGAGTGCTTGGATGGTGGTGTGGCGGCCTATGCGCGTTTCAGAGTAACTACAGGAAAGAAGGGTGTGCGGTGAACTCAAACGAGGCTTTCAGCACCGACCCTGCGCCAGCCCTGTGCGCTACAAACAGCGCCGTGGCGTTGCTGGCACACACGCGCTCCAGCTGCTGCACCTCCCCCTCCACTGCCTCACTCGCTCCCACGGTGCCAGCAGGTGCGGCTGCAGCTGCGAGTGCTTGGATGGTGGGGAGGTTGGTGGCAGTGGTGCGGAAGAAATCGAGCGACATCTGGTAGAGCTCTGGTACCTGAATGGGAGGAGGGAGAGTCGTGAGTGAGAGGCACAACACAAGAGGGGAGTGGATGGTGGGCAGGTTGGCGGCGGGCCGTGGTGCGGAAGAAGTCGAGCGACATCTGGTAGAGCTCTGGGACCTGTGGGATGGGAGGAAGGAAGGTGGCAGTGGGGAGTGAATGGAGGGCAGGTGCGGCTGCAGCTGCGAGTGCTTGGATGGTGGGCAGGTTGGTTGCAGTGGTGCGGAAGAAATCGAGCGACATCTGGTAGAGCTCTGGTACCTGTGGCACACAGGAGCGGAATGATGCCAAGGCAACAAATGCAAAGAAAGGGATCACGCTGGAAGGCAGCATAGGAGAGCGGCTCAGGCAGCATGTAGGTGGGGAGTGGCGCCAAGGAATGTACAGAGAGGGGTGGGGACGTACAGAGAGGCCGGCAGGGGAGACGGCGCGCTGGAAGGCGGCGTAGGAGAGCGGCTCGGGTAGCTGCACCCTCTTGAGCACCGCGTAGCGCTGCTGGTAGCGCTGGTGGGTGGGCGCAGAGGGAAAGGGGGGGTGGGCAAAGGGAAGTGAAGGCCATGAGGGGCAAGACATGGCAGTTGCACCCTCTTGAGCACCGCGTAGCGCTGCTGGTAACGCTGGTGGGTGGGTACACGGGGAAAGTTGGGCGGGAGGAGAGGGGAGGGAACGGCTTAAGCGGAAGTGAAAGTAGCTGCACCCTCTTGAGCACCGCGTAGCGCTGCTGGTAGCGCTGACGAACATGGGAGGGAAGGAGGGTGGGGAGGGTACGGGGAAGGAGGTAGACACAGGGAATGAGAGGCAAGACATGGCAGCTGCACCCTCTTTAGCACCGCATAGCGCTGCTGGTAGCAGCTGGTGGGCGGGCGCAAGGGGGTGTGTGTGAGATGGCAGGTGGGCAGAGGAGCAGGGGGGTACGGGGAAGGAGACACACACAGGGCATGAGAGGCAGGTGTTGGCAGGTGCACCCTCTTGAGCACTGCATAGCGCTGCTGGTAGCGCTGGTGTGTGGGTACAAGTAGGGGCACAAGGGAAGGGGGCGAGAGGTTGTGCGAGGCATGAGAGGCAAGACATGGCAACTGCACCCTCATTAGCACTGCATAACGCTGCTGGTAGCGCTGGTGGTGGCACAGAGGGACAAAGCGAAGGAAGGAGGAGGGTAGTGAAGGCCATGAGGGGCATATAGCAGCTGCACCCTCTTGAGCACCACGTAGCGCTGCTGGTAGCGCTGGTGGGTGGGCACAGGGGGGAGGAGGGGAGAGGGCACAGGAGAGAGGCACAGGGCGGGCCTTGGATATTGTGCGAGGAAGGATAGTAGATGATTTGGTGAGGTGAGTGAGACAATGAAATGCAGATATGGCAACGTGGCAGGGGGGTGGATGCGCTACCCACCCACCACCATCCACCACCCTCACGGAATTATGCCCCTCACGCCCCTCAAGTTCCAAGCATTCAAACAAGCACATGGGGACACACCTGGCGATCGGTGTTGAAGGGAGAGGGGCGCAGGGTGAAACTCGTTACTACCCACTTTTTTCGCAAAGGTCTCTAAGGTTTTCACAAAGTCATGTCTCCTAAGTGGGGTTCCATTGGACTCCAAGCATCCGTACAAGAACATGGGGACACACCTGGCGATCGGTGTTGAAGGGAGAGGAGTGCTGGATCAGCTTTTGAGGCGCCTAAAAAATTACATCAAAAGTCGCCTTAAAAGTCGCCTCAAAAGTCGCCTCAAAAGTCGCCTGCCTCAGAAGTTGCCTCAAAAGTCTCCTCAAAAGTTGCCCCTCATGCTCCAAGCATCTATACACGCCCATGAGAACACACCTGGCGATCGGTGTTGAAGGGAGAGGGCCGCTGGGTCAGCTTGCCGTCCAGAACAAACGCAGCGAGTAGCTGTGGGCGTGGTGCGGGAAGTGTGGTGGGGTGGTGTTGAGAGCGGTAAAGAGATATGAGTGGGCAATAGGAGGAGGTAAGGGAGAGGGGCGCTGGGTCAGCTTGCCGTCCAGGACAAACGCAGCGAGTAGCTGAGGGCGTGGTGTGGTGAGGGGAGGTAAGTACGGGGGAGCATTGAAATGAATGAAGAGAGTTGAAGGGAGAGAACCGCTGGTGCAGCTTGCGGTCCAGGACAAATGCTGCCAGCAGCTGTGGGCGTGGTGAGGGGAGTGAGGTGGGTAGTATTCAAGAGAAGTGAGCAGGCAATGTGAGGAGGTAAGAGAGAGAACCGCTTGGGCAGCTTACCGTCCAGGAGGAATGCTGCAAGTAGCTGAGGGGTGTGAGGTACGGGAAGTAGAGGGGAGTATTGAAATGAATAATTAAGAGAGGTGAGTGAGCAATAGGAGGTGGTATGGGAGAAGGACGCTGGGAAGCTTGTTGTCCAGGACGAATGCTGCTAGCAGGTGTGGGTGTGGTGTGGTGAGGCGAGGCATGGTGAGGGAGGGAGGAGCATTGAGGGCAATCACGAGAGGTAAGTGAGCGATGGGAGGAGTTGAAAGGATAGGCCGCTGGTGCAGCTTTCCGTCCAGGACGAATGCTGCTAGCAGCTGTGGGTGTGGTGAGAGGGGTCGGGAGGAGAGTGGAGGAGAACAGTGGCACCTGCCCACACACCCCTCTCATCCCCATGCTTGTCCCTCTCACCCACCCGCACGTAGGCCTTGCAGAGCAGCTGGTAGGCGGAGAGCAGAACCAGATCCAGGGAGGGCGGTGGGGGCGAGACAGAGCACATGCATTCCCATCGCCTCAGCACCATGCCACCATGGCCCCCCTGCTTTTGAGTCGACTCAAAAGCAGGCTCACAGCGCCATGCCACCTGCCCACACACCCCTCTCATCCCCATGCTTGCCCCTCTCACTCACCTGCACTTAGGCCTTGCAGAGTAGCTGGTAGGCGGAGAGCAGAACCAGATCCAGCGAGGGCGGTGGGGGCAGGTGCGCAAGACATGCATTCCCACCACCTCATGACCTCTACTGCTCGCACACCCCTCTTTCTCACCACCCGCACACCCTGCTCACCCGCACGTAGGCCTTGCAGAGCAGCTGATAAGCGGAGAGCAGCGCCAGATCAAGCGAGGGCGGTGGGGGCGAGGAGGGCTGGGCTGCTGCCGGCTTGCGACGAGCCTTGCGGGAGGATGGGGCTGCGGCGAGGTGAGGGAAATGGGGGTGGGGAGGAATTAGATGGGGGGGGGGAGGAGGGAGGATGCAGTCAGGGAAATGGTTCTGAGGAATTTTTAACCCTACCTCGGGAAGCTAAATACTTTGGTCAAGGTTGAAGCTCAGCCTTAGTCGTTACACCCAGACTAGCTCGTGTCGGGTGTCTGTATCAAAGCACTTACCTGCACTCCCAAAATAGAAGTGTCGTGACAGAATGGGAGTGTGGCTAAGTGCCTAGATACAATACAGAGACGAGAAACAGGGCGGTGGGGGCAGACCTGTGAAAGGCTTCTGCAAGGAAGCTTCCCGAGCAGACACGTTGTGGATGAGCGTGGCCAGCACACTGTCCAGGTACCTGCATGGATGGATGGCAAGGGGGCGATATGCGAAGGTGTAAATACAAGTACTGTTTCCAATATTATGTGCCATGCGCAATGCGCAGTTCTGCTTCCCGAGCAGACACGTTGTGGATGAGCGTGGCCAGCACACTGTCGAGGTACCTGCTCATGCATGCATGCGAAGGGGTGCAGGAGGATGGAGAGATGGTGCTACGTGACGGTGTCATGTGAAGGCATGGGATGAGCGATCTTCATGGACAGACACGTTGTGGATGAGCGTTTTCGGCCAGCACACTGTCGAGGTACCTGTTGCCGCATGCATGAAGAGGGGATGCAGGAGGATGGAGAGATGGTGCTACGTGAAGGTGTCATGTGTACGCATGGGATGAATGAGCTTTCCGGGCAGACACGTTGTAGATGAGCGTGGCCAGCACAGTGAGACACATGTCAAGGCAGGGTAGGAAAAAGCATGGTGCATGACAACTGGCACAGCGTGTGCGAGAGGCATGGCATGACACGCATGCAGGATGGCACAACGGACCAGAAGGCGGAGTGGAACTCGGAGGAAGCATAGATGCGCGTGGAGAAGGCAAGCAGCAGGGGTGTGTAAGAGGCATGGCATGTCATGCCTCTCGCAGGGAGAACGCACAGTGTGGCGCAGGGAGGCATAGCGTGGCGTGGTGGCACCACGGTGGTGCGATGCGCAGGGAGGACGCACCAGAACGCGGAGAGGAACTCTAAGGGGGCAGAGAGGCGCGTGGAGAAGCCGAGGGGTGTGGGTGGGAGGCATGGCATGGCATGGCAAGGCATGGCATGGCCAGGCAGGCAAGGCGCACCAGAAGGCAGAGAGGAACTCAGAGGGCGCGTAGAGGCGCGTGGAGAAGCCGAGCTGCAGATAGCGAATGACGATGCGACACGTGTATTCCACCACCCAGCTGGTTGCCACACTCTCCCTCCACCACCCCTGTTGGCAGGTCAGCATTGGTGAATGGTGTGAATGAATGGTGTGAATGGTGTACCATACAAGCCCACGTGGGAGAGGGGAGGTTGTTTTGAGTCAAATGAAAAACCGCGTGTGTTCCACCACCCAGCTGGTTGCCACACTCTCCCTCCACCACCACTGATGGCAGGTTGGCATCGAGAGGGAGGGAGGAAGGGTGCGCACACACAGTGAGGGGAAGGAAAAGGATCAATGGTGTGTGTGCACCATACACGACACGGCCCCAACACGTGTGTTCCACCACCCAGCTGGTTGCCGCACTCTCCCTCCACCACCCCTGTTGGCAGGTTGGCATCGAGAGGGAGGGAGGAAGGGTGCGCACAGCAAGGGAATGAGAAGGATGAATGGTTTGGCTGTGTACCATACACACGCCCACAACACTTGTACTCCACCACCCAGCTCGTTGCCACACTCTCCCTCCACCACCCCTGCTCGGATTGGAGCTCAGCGTCGAGTCAAGGGGAGTTTGGGGGGAAAGGGGGAAGGAAAGCGCACAGCACAGAGAAGGGTGGGAGAAGAGGGCACAGAGAAGGCAAGTCACTCCACTTCCCTGTCCTTCCCACACTTGCCCCGCCGTACATGAACCGATGGATGAGCAACATAAAATGATGCTCGTGAACAGTGTGTGCCACCCAAGGGCCAAGGGCCACGCATCACATAAGAGGTGACTTTTGAGTTGACTCCAACAAACAGCTGGTTGACACACTCTCCCTCCACCACAAAATGTGTGCTACCCACCCAAGGGCCAATGCCCACGCATCACATGGGAGGTCAACATACCAGGAATTTCCCTGCACACGAAATCAAGACATCAACAGCCGCACTACCTAAAATATCACCTGAGAAATCACATGAGGATATACCTGAGCGAAATTGGCGGTGGTGTAGCGCTCCACGGTTTCGCATGCATCCACGTCGCCAGCCTAAAGGGGCGGAGGGCACGAAAGACGTTGGGGAAAAGGGTTGTTGAGAACGCTTGTTCTCAATAATAGAGTGCAAGAGGCAGTGGAGGCGGTGGTGTAGCGCTCCACGGCTTCACACGCGTCCACGTCGCCAGCCTAGAAGGGGCGACGGGAAAGAAAGGTGTTGAGGGAAAGGGCGATGAGAAGGCTTGTTCTCAACAAAAGAGAGCAAGGGACAGTGAAGGCGGTGGTGTAGCGCTCCACGGCTTCACACGCGTCCACGTCGCCAGTCTAAAAGGGGTGATAGGCAGGAAAGACATTGAAAACGCATGAGAAATCCCGCACTTGTGAAAGTAGGTGGTGTAGCGCTCCACGGTTTCACACGCGTCCACGTCGCCAGCCTGGAGGGGCGGCAGGCAGGAAAGGAGTTGAGGGGAAGGGTGATGAGGGGAAGGGAGTTGTGGGGAAAGGACGTTGGGGGGAAAGGGTGTCGGTGGGAAAGTGTGTTGGGGGGAAGGGAAAGAGCGCATGAGAAATTCCGCACTTGCGGAAGGTGGTAGTGAAGCCCACCTCCACGGCTTCACATGCGTCCACGCCGCCAGCCTAAACGGGGTGACAGGAAAGAAATTCTGCACTTGCTACCCGCAACAGTGCAAGACACAGCGAGGCGAGAAACAGCACATGACAGCAGTGAGACGGCATAAGAGAAGGGGAAAAGGGGGTGGCAGAAGGAGGAGCAGCAGGCAGAGGGGAAGTAAGGGGGCGCACGAGGGAGAGGAGGTGGTTCCAGTTGGGCAGCAGAAGGAGGGGTAGCGGGCAGGGGAAGGAGCGGGCACGAGAAGGAGCGGGTAGGAGAAGGAGCGGGTAGGAGAAGGAGCGGGTAGGAGAAGGAGCGGGTAGGGGGGAGGAGGGGGAACGCACGAGCGAGAGCAGGTGGTTCCAGTCGGGCAGCAGCTTGGCCAGCATGCGCCTCTCCCTCGCCCCGTTGCTGCACTGCGCCCTCAACACCGCCTGCACTGCCTGCACGGGTGACACAGGGATGGCATGCACGTAGCACGCAAATGGGGGGACTTTTGAGGCACCTCCAAGTGGTTCCAGTCGGGCAGCAGCTTGGCCAGCATGCGCCTCTCCCTGGCCCCGTTGCTGCACTGTGCTCTCAGCACTGCCTGCACTGCCTGGTTGAAAGAGACACGAATGGGATGGCAGGACAGGATGAGAGGCATGAGGGGACAAGATGGGGTTTGGCCAGCATTCGCCTCTCCCTGGCCAGCATTCGCCTCTCCCTGGCCAGCATTCGCCTCTCCCTGGCCAGCATTCGCCTCTCCCTGGCCAGCATTCGCCTCTCCCTGGCCAGCATTCGCCTCTCCCTGGCCAGCATTCGCCTCTCCCTGGCCAGCATTCGCCTCTCCCTGGCCAGCATTCGCCTCTCCCTGGCCAGCATTCGCCTCTCCCTGGCCAGCATTCGCCTCTCCCTTGGCCAGCATTCGCCTCTCCCTGGCCAGCATTCGCCTCTCCCTGGCCAGCATTCGCCTCTCCCTGGCCAGCATTCGCCTCTCCCTGGCATGAGGGGACAAGATGGGGTACTGTGCTCTCAGTACCGCCTGCACTGCCTGCACGGGCGAGCTAGGGATGGGAGGCAGGTGGGGACAAGATGGCAGCACAGCAGCACAGCAGTACAGCAGCACAGCAGCACAGCAGTACAGCAGCACAGCAGCACAGCAGCACAGCAGCACAGCAGCACAGCAGCACAGCAGCACAGCAGCACAGCAGCACAGCAGCACAGCAGCACAGCAGCACAGCAGCACAGCAGCACAGCAGCACAGCAGCACAGCAGCACAGCAGTTCAGTGGAGCACGCCTGCCTCCAACTCAAACCAGCACGGGCACCCTACATCCCCTTTCCCCTCCCTGCCTGCCCCCTCCCACTCACATCTGCCCCATCCCACTTACATGCGATGCCTTCTTGACAAATTTCCCCAAAGCCGCACTGAAGCCCGCTTCCCCACCACCAGCAGCACCACCAGCAGCACCACCACTGCCACCGCTACCATCGGTGGCAGCAGCAGGGCGGGTGGCAGGTGCAGCGAGTGCATGACTACGTCTGCCCCATCCCACTTACATGCGATGCCTTCTTGACAAATTTCCCTAAAGCCGCACTGGTGCCCGCTTCCCCACCACCAGCACCACCGCCAGCACCACCACTGCCACCGCCAACACTGCCACCGCCAGCACCACTTGCAGCAGCTCCAGCTGGCGGCAGCAGGGCGGGCGGCAGGTGCAGCGAGTGCCCTCTCTCACCACATCTGCCCCATTCCACTTACATGTGACGCCTTCTTGACGAATTTCCCTAAAGCCGCACTGGTGCCTGCACCACCACCATCGCCACCACCGCCAGCTCCACCTGCGGGTGGCAGCAGCGTGAGCGGTAGATGCAGCGAGTGCATGACTACGTCTGTGGGGTCGTGGCCGAGAATGAGCCCGTCTCGCAGCAGCAGCAGCTGGTGGGGGGAGAGGGGAGTGGAGGGGTGGGAGGGGGGGGGGAAATGGTGTGGAGGGGGAGGGAACGAGAGGAAAGGCATAAGGTGCAGCGAGTGCATGACTACGTCTGTGGGGTCATGGCCGAGAATGAGCCCGTCTCACAGCAGCAGCAGCTGGCGGGGGAGAGAAGAAGGATGAGAAAGCAAGGAGGGACGGAAGGAGTAACATAAGGTACAGCGAGTGCATGACTACGTCTGTGGGGTCGTGGCTGAGAATGAACCCGTCTCGTAGCAGCAGCAGCTGGCGGAGAGGCGATGCGGAAGGTGGTTGGGCGGGGAGGGGAGTGAAGAAGGTGCAGCGAGTGCATGACTGCATCAGTGGGGTTATGGCTGAGAATGAGACCGTCTCGCAGCAATAGCAGCTGGGGGGGGGGAAGAGGAGGGGAGAGGGGCAGTCGAGAGGTGGAGGGGGGAGGAGGAAGGGGAGGGGCGTGAGAAGAAATGTAGCACCCCGTACGGAGCACACACACACCCACCCACCTCCACTGCACACATGCAGCCATCACACACTCACACCTGCACAGGCGACAGGGCCAGGGTTGAGGGCGCGGAAGAGGGAGAGGAACACCGCCCCATGCAAAGCACACCCACCTGCAGCAAACGCACCTGCACACATGCAGCCATCACACACTCATACCTGCAGGGCGGCGCAGGAGACAGGGCCGGGGTTGAGAGGGCACGGAAGTGGGTGAGGAAGCAAGAAAGCTTCAGCAGATCGGGACCCACCGCCCCGTACAGAGCACACCCACGCACCCACCTCCTCTGCACACGTGCAGGAAACTCCCCTGCACCCACGCAGCACTCATAAACAGCCACCATACATACCTGCAGGGCAGCACTCATAAACAGCCACCATACATACCTGCAGGGCAGCACTCATAAACAGCCACCATACATACCTGCAGGGCAGCACTCATAAACAGCCACCATACATACCTGCAGTGCAGCGCGGGCGACGGGCCCGGGGTTGAGGGCGCGGAAGTGGGCGCATTACACTGCCCCATACCAGGGATAAACACCTGCAGACAGCAAACGCACACACATGATACACATATACAGCCATCGTACCTGCAGTGCAGCGCGGGCGACGGGTCCGGGGTTGAGGGCGCGGAAGTGGGCAATGAAGCGAGAGAGCTCCAGAAGACTGGGAGGCGAGGCGGATGGCAGATGGGAGATGAAGGCGAGGTGGGTTAGCAGACGAGAGAAATGGTCCAATGCCTGGGAGAGACGGGGGGAAAGGACGGCAGGGATAGGGAGAGGGGGAAGGTGGATGACAGGTGGGAGATGAAGGCGAGATGGGTTAGCAGACGAGAGAAATGGTCCAACGCCTGGGAGAGACGGGGGGGAAGGACGGCAGGGATAGGGAGAGGGGGAAGGTGGATGACAGGTGGGAGATGAAGGCGAGATGGGTTAGCAGACGAAAGAAATGGTCCAACGTCTGGTGGGGAGGAGAAGAGGGGAGAGGGGGAGGCGGGAGAAGCAGAAAATGGGGGAATGAGGCGAGTGGTGGAATTAGAGCGGAGGAGGAGCAGATGAGTCAGCAGACGAACCATGTGGTCCAGTGGTGACGAGGGGTTAGGTGGGGTTGGGGTGTTTGTTGTGAGTGACAGATTCATTTCATAGGGGCAGAGCAGAAGCAGAGCAGAAAACGCAGGAGAGAACAAGGTTGGAGGAGGAGCGATTTTTCAGTCGCCTCAAAAATCGACTCATCACAAACGCAGAAGAGAAGAAGGTCGGAGGAGGAGCGGGTGGGTTAGGTTGAGCAACCATCCAACCACTCCCAGCACAGACACGTCAGCAGCAGCCTCACCTCGTGCCACGTCAGCAGGTGTGTGGGACGGGGAGGCGTGGGCGGAAGCAGGTGGGTGTTGATGGCAGGACACATTCCCGGCGCCACCCTCCCTGATGCTGTCTGCTTCCCCCCACTCCCTCCCTCCGCACGCTCCCCCTGTCCCTCCTCTCCCCCCTCTCCTTTCTCTTCCCCCACTCCTCCCTCTTCCTCAGCAGCGGGGGCGGGCGGGGGAGGGGAGGTCTTGAGTTTGTGCAGGGCGGATTGGGCGAGCTGGATCTTGAGCGCACAGGCAGGCAGGTGGGCGGGTAGGCGCGCCGTGTGTAGCGCTGAGAGCACGTCATAGAGAGCCTGGTGTGTGGAGGAGAGGGGGAGCAGGTGAATGAAGGAGGGCGAGCTGAATCTTGAGCGCACAGGCAAGCAGGTGGGTGGGCAGGCGGGCCGTGTGCAGCGCTGAGGGGGCGTCAAAGAGGGCCGGGTGGGGGAGAAGGGACCGAGGGGGTTGGTGCGGAGGGGTGTGGGGGGCGGGGAGGCCTTGAGGCACTGCAAGACGGTCTGGGAGAACTGTATCTTGAGCGCACAGGCAGGCAGGTGGGTGGGCAGGCGGGCCGTGTGCAGCGCTGAGGGGGCGTCAAAGAGGGCCGGGTGGGGGAGAAGGGACCGAGGGGGTTGGTGCGGAGGGGTGTGGGGGGCGGGGAGGCCTTGAGGCACTGCAAGACGGTCTGGGAGAGCTGTATCTTGAGCGCACAGGCAGGCAGGTGGGTGGGCAGGCGGGCCGTGTGCAGCGCTGAGGGGGCGTCAAAGAGGGCCGGGTGGGGGAGAAGGGACCGAGGGGGTTGGTGCGGAGGGGTGTGGGGGGCGGGGAGGCCTTGAGGCACTGCAAGACGGTCTGGGAGAACTGTATCTTGAGCGCACAGGCAGGCAGGTGGGTGGGCAGGCGGGCCGTGTGCAGCGCTGAGGGGGCGTCAAAGAGGGCCGGGTGGGGGAGAAGGGACCGAGGGGGTTGGTGCGGAGGGGTGTGGGGGGCGGGGAGGCCTTGAGGCACTGCAAGACGGTCTGGGAGAGCTGTACCTTGAGCGCACAGGCAGGCAGGTGGGTGAGCAGGCGGGCCGTGTGCAGCGCTGAGGGGGCGTCAAAGAGGGCCGGGTGGGGGAGAAGGGACCGAGGGGGTTGGTGCGGAGGGGTGTGGGGGCCGGGGAGGCCTTGAGGCACTGCAAGACGGTCTGGGAGAACTGTATCTTGAGCGCACAGGCAGGCAGGTGGGCGGGCATGCGGGCCGTGTGCAGCGCTGAGGGGGCGTCAAAGAGGGCCGGGTGGGGGAGAAGGGACCGAGGGGGTTGGTGCGGAGGGGTGTGGGGGGCGGGGAGGCCTTGAGGCACTGCAAGACGGTCTGGGAGAACTGTATCTTGAGCGCACAGGCAGGCAGGTGGGCGGGCATGCGGGCCGTGTGCAGCGCTGAGGGGGCGTCAAAGAGGGCCGGGTGGGGGAGAAGGGACCGAGGGGGTTGGTGCGGAGGGGTGTGGGGGGCGGGGAGGCCTTGAGGCACTGCAAGACGGTCTGGGAGAACTGTATCTTGAGCGCACAGGCAGGCAGGTGGGCGGGCATGCGGGCCGTGTGCAGCGCTGAGGGGGCGTCAAAGAGGGCCGGGTGGGGGAGAAGGGACCGAGGGGGTTGGTGCGGAGGGGTGTGGGGGGCGGGGAGGCCTTGAGGCACTGCAAGACGGTCTGGGAGAGCTGTATCTTGAGCGCACAGGCAGGCAGGTGGGCGGGCATGCGGGCCGTGTGCAGCGCTGAGGGGGCGTCAAAGAGGGCCGGGTGGGGGAGAAGGGACCGAGGGGGTTGGTGCGGAGGGGTGTGGGGGGCGGGGAGGCCTTGAGGCACTGCAAGACGGTCTGGGAGAGCTGTATCTTGAGCGCACAGGCAGGCAGGTGGGCGGGCATGCGGGCCGTGTGCAGCGCTGAGGGGGCGTCAAAGAGAGCCGGGAAGAGGGCGTCTGATCCACATGGCAGAGCACGCCTCTCGTGGCGGAAGCAGATCCACATGCTGATCTTTCGCCACGTGAAAAAAGTTGAGGTTTGAGATGTTTCTAACCTCCAACCTTTGACTTCGCTGAGTTTTATCTTGTGGCGGAAGAGAATCCACGTGCTACCAGCCTATCACCAAGTTTATCCCTACCATGGCGGGCAAGAGATCTTGCTGGCGTTTGAGCCGCTACCCTACCTACCTACCACCACGCCCACAGCACACTACACGCTCGGGCATGCTGACTTTCCACATGCTGGATGGCTGTAAGCTGGGTGGCTGCATGCTGGGTCTCTTGTGGCGGAGGAGCACCCACCCACCCCATGTGCTGAGTCTTTGCTGGTGTTTGAGCCGCTACCCTACCACCCACCACCACGCGCACAGCACACTACACGTGTTTGAGCCGATTCAAACCGCTACACGCTCCGGAATGATTTTCCAGGCAGAGTGAGCAAACGAGACAACAGAGTGATGTTGCCTCGCACACGCGCAACGCAAGTGCAAAACATGGTATGCGCATACGCGCAACGCAAGTGCATAACATGGTATACGCATACGCGCAACGCAAGTGCATAACATGGTATACGCATATGCGCAACGCAAGTGCATAACATGGTATACGCATACGCGGGATCAGGAGTGCCATGAGAGCAGCGCAGAAGCAGAAGAGAAATCAGAGAGAAACGGAGCAGAGCTGATCAGGGAGCAGCAAGCCGTACCAGTCGGAATTGCATGCGGGCCTTTAGGGCTGCGAGGAGAGCAGGGGGCAGCCCAGACAGGACAGAGTCGCCCTGCTGCTGCTCGCTCCCTGCCTTTGCCTCTTCTCCTGGTGCGCATGGGTGTGTGGGAGTGTGTGGGAGTGTGGGGTGGATGGGGGGTGTGGGAGATGGAAAGCATAGAAGCAGGTGATGGCATGGAGGCAGGCGGGGCAGGGGGAGGGCATGGGGGCAGGCGGAGGGCATGGGGCAGGCGGAGGGCATGGGGGCAGGCGGAGGGCATGGGGGTAGGCGGAGGGCATGGGGGTAGGTTGAGGGCATGGGGGCAGGCGGAGGGCATGGGGGCAGGCGGAGGGCATGGGGGCAGGCGGAGGGCATGGGGGTAGGCGGAGGGCATGGGGGTAGGCGGAGGGCATGGGGGCAGGCGGAGGGCATGAGGGCAGGCGGAGGGCATGGAGGTGAGATGAGAAGGGCAGAGCTGACGGCTGGGTGACAGTATGCCAATAGCGGAAGGGAGGTAACTCGAAAACACCTAGCAAGAACGGCAGGTGAACCAACAAGAGGAAGGGAAGGGGGCATGCGTGCCACTCCCGTACACTGAAAATCCCACTCATACCCATCCCCACACCTCTCCTCCCCCACCTGTCTCCTTCCCCGTGTCTACCACCCCCTGTCCTCCCCCTCACGCCTGTTCCCCCTCCCAACCCCGTCCCCACTTTCTCCCTCCCCCTCCCCCTCCCCCCCCGCCCCCCACCCACCTGTTCCTTCCCCCTCCAGTCCCGCCAGCAGCGCTCTCAGTGGCGCCACTGCCGCCTCGCCCATTCGCCCCTCCAGAGGCAGGCCCCCTGCTGACGTCACAAAGTCCTCCTCCTGCACGAGGAGAGAGGGAGGGGGGAACGGAGGGGGGAGGGGGTGAGCGGAGTCGATTTTTGAGGAGCGTCAATAAGTGAGTGTTGCACCCCATCAGAAGCAGGCCCCCTGCTGACGTCACAAAGTCCTCCTCCTGGGGTGCGAGGAGCAAGGGAGTGAGGGGAGAAGGGGGGGAGTTGCACGGAGTCCATTTCAAAGGCGTCTCAAGGAAAGAGATTGACTCCTGCAGAGGCAGCTGCTGCCCCTGGGGTGGGCATCACCGAGTCCTTGACGTTGCAGGATATTTATTGAGAATTCTCAAAAATTAATACCAAAAAGAGATTGACTCCTGCAGAGGCAGCTTCCCCGGGTCTCCTCTCCTGAGAGGGGGGAGGGGGAGGGAAAGGGAGGTTAGAGGAGAAAGGGACGTGAGCGGAGAAAGAGGCGTGGGGTAGAAAGGGGCGCGAGGGGAGAGGGAGGTTGAGAAGAGAGAGCGGGTGAGGGAAGAGCAGGGTGAGTGGCGAGACGAGAAGGAGTGACGGACAAGAAAGGTGTGAGTGAGGGCGAGTAGGGTGAAGGGAGAGGAGGGATGATGGGCGATTAGGGGTGAGAGGGGGTGATGAGGGGTGATACAGGTAAAGACAAGACAAGCGCAGCAGAGCTCAACGTGCGGGCCTGGCAGGGCCTCATGCAGGGGCAGCGGCACACATGGCATGGCATGATGCAGTGCGAGCGTGCCTCCCTCTCACCTCGTGTTGGTGCCTCCAGCAGGCAGCAGAGCGCACACTGTTGACACAGGCGAGGGTGGCTGACAGCAGGCAGCAGCAGCAACACACACGGCATGGTGCAGGGGCATGATGATGCAGGGCAGTGAGCAGCTCACCTCGCGTTGGTGAGTCCAGCGGCCTGCAGAGCGCACGCTGTTGACACAGGTGAGGGAGGCTGACAGCAGCGCCAGGAGCACACACACACACATGGGATGGCATGACCTGAGGCCTCACGTGATGCAGTGCCATCGTGCCCCCCTCTCACCTCGCGTTGGTATGTCCAGCAGGCGGCTGATCGCACACTGTTGACACAGGCGAGGGTGGCTGACAGCAGCGCCAGCACCAGCGGCGAGGAGGAGAGGGAGGGGGAGGGGGAGCGGAGCGGTGGCAGCTGCAGGAGCAAGAACACTGGGGCAGTGAGCAGCTCACCTCGCGTTGGTGCGTCCAGCAGGAGGCAGAGCGCACGCTGTTGACACAGGCGAGGGTGGCTGACAGCAACACCAGTAACAGCGGCGAGGAGGAGAGGGAGGGGGAGGGCGTGCAGGCGGAAGGGGGGGCGAGCGGCGGCAGCAGCAGATAGGTGCAGGTGAAGACGGTCTGAGGCAGGCTGTGGCCGCTGTGCCACGTGGCCTGGTGGCGGGAGACAGCGGAAGAGAGCAGGAGGGAGGGGAAGGAGGGGGAAGAGAGAGGCGTGAAGGGGAGTGCACAAGACACGCATGGGAGGGGGCCGGCGGCAGCAGCAGGTAGGCGCAGGTGAATGCGGTTTGTGGGAGGCTGTGGCCGATGTGCCACGTGGCCTGGGGGGGAAAGGGGGGAGTGGGGAGGATAACAGGAGTGCGAGGGGGAAGGATGAGGAAGTGGGGAGTGGGATGTACAGGGCACGTGTGTTTTGAGTCGACTCAAAACACACCAGGATGAGGAAGTAGGGAGCGGGGAGTGGGATGTACAGGGCACGCATGGAATGGAGTGGCAGCAGCGGGTAGGCGCAGGTGAATACGGTCTGTGGCTGCTGTGCCACGTGGCCTGGGGGAAAGGGGGGAGTGGGGGGAAGGATGAGGGAGAGGGGAGTTGGGGGTGCACAGCACATGCATGGAGTGGAGTGGCAGCAGCAGGTAGGCGCAGGTGAATACGGTCTGGGGTAGGCTGTGGCCGCTGTGCCACGTGGCCTGGGGGCGGGAAGAGGGGTAAAGGGGTGGGGGAGAGTGACAGGAGCGAGGGGGGGTGGCGGATGGGCAGGGGCGAGAGCCGGGAGGATGAGGCAACGGGGAATGGGACGCACAGGGTGCATGGAGTGGGGGCGAATGTGCCGTTGTGCAAGGCAATCGAGGTGACTTTAGAGTCAAGTCAACTCAGAAGTCGCCTGTGCAAAGAAGGGAGGGGGAAGAGAGGGCAGCGTACCTCACCTCAAAGCACCACACAGCACCTCCACGCACCTCAGCGCACAGCAGCGTGCCACAGTGGTCCACGATGCGGTGCGCTGGCAGAGGAAAGGAGAGGGAAAGGGGGCGGCAGCACAACAACAGTGCACCACACCGCACCTCACCGCACAAAACCACACAGCACCACACAGCACACCTCAGCACACAGCAGCGCGTCACGGAGGTACACAATGCGGTCAGTTGGCAGAGGAAGGGAAGGGGGATGGGGACACCAGCACAGCACCGCCCGTCACTGCACCTCAGTGCACAGCAGGGCGTCACAGAGGTCCACAATGCGATCGGCAGGCAGACGAAAGGAGGGGAAGGAGTACCAGCACAGCAACACCGCACCGCACCGTACCTCACCGAAAACACACAGCACCACATAGCCCACCTCACCGCACAGCACCGCATGTCACCGCACCTCAGCGCACAGCAGCGCGTCACAGAGATCCACGATGCGGTCAGCTGGCAGGGGCAGCGGCAGCAGCCCCCGCTCCACCGCTTCCCCCACACTCTCCACCTCGCCTCCCGCCTCACCCTTCGCCCTGTCCTGACCCTCGCCTCCCGCCCCGCTTCCCCCCTTGCCTCCCCCCATGCCCGCATCCATCTTGGGATCCATCATCTGTGCAAGGCGGAAAGAAGAGGAGATGGGGGGCCAACACGGGGGGGAAAGGGAGGCGATGGAGCGAGCGAGCGAGGAGGAAGTAGGACGGATCAACGCCCCCCCCCATGCCCGCATCCATCTTGGGATCCATCATCTGTGCAAGGCGGGGAGAACGGGGAGGGGGCAGGTAAGTGGGAGCGCGTGTTGGAAAGCTGGCAGGGCAGAAGGGGGTATTGAGCCTTGTCAGATTCATCCAGCATCCATCTTGGGTGCGAGGAGCACACAGAGCGGGGCGGGTGGGGTGTACCTGGAGGGAAGCCATGGCTGATTTTGAGTCGAGTCAAACGCAGCGCACAGGGCAAGCGGGGGGATGTACGTACCTGGAGGGCCGCCATGGCTTCAAAGAGACTGAAGGACTCGCCGTGCAGCAGCTCTCCTGACTGCAGCTCTGATGGTGATGAGAGGGGGGGGAAGAGGGGGAAGGAGGAGGAGGGGAAAGAGGAGGGGGAAGGAGGAGGGGGGAAAGGGGCGAAAAGGGGATCAGATTACGGAGTGAAGGGACTGGAAAGATTCGCCGTGCAGCAACTCGCCTGATTGCATCTCTGATGGTGATGAGAGCGGGGGAGAGGGGAGAGGAGGATGGGAAGGGGTGGGGGAAACGGAGGGGGACATGAGATGCGGCGGTAGTCAGAAAACACATGTAAGGCTGACGGCTTCGCCACGCGCCAACTCGATTGATGCCAGCTCCGATGGTGTGGGGAAGGGGGGGAGAGCGGATGAGGATGAGAGGAGGGGGAGAGGGAGGGAGGAGGGGAGGGAGGGGGCGAGGTGGCGAAGGGGGGAGGGGAGGGAGGGGGGTAAGATGAGATGGGGATGAGCGAGGGAGAGCATAGGTCGCCGCGATGGCGACACACGACCATGAGATGGGGAAAAGGCATATAAAAAGCTGGAGCGTGATAGCACGGCATCACGCGGCTCGGATCCCCTGCTGTGCCGCGCGACCATATAGTCAGCCGGGGGTCCAAACCCCCCTGCTGTGCCGCCTCGCTCATTCCACCGGGCTATGGCCGCAAGGCAAGGCTCGCCCCACAAGGCTCGCCCGCGCCAGGCTAATCCGCGCAAGGCCCGCGCGCAATGCGATCAAGAGCTTACCGGCGCAAGCGGCGGCGAGCGCGGCGTCGGCGTCGCGCCACGCCGTCTGATCGCCCGCCCGCTCCGCTCCCAGCGGCCGCGCGACGTCGTCCTGCGCCATGGCGACCGACTTCTGCGACTGGCGTCGCACGCCGCTGAGTGGCTACCTACGCGCGACGAGAGACGAACGACAAGCGACAGCGACCAGCGACGACGCGGGACCAGCGACGAGCGACGGATGACGAGCGTTAAAACTGATACCGGATAGCGATGGAACGAGCGTGAGGTGCCCTATTTAGCGTCTTCACGTCGCGACGCGTTTCGGGTGCGCAACCAGTCGCGTTGGAGGAGATCCAGGCCGCGCGGCCAATGTACGTACTCAACGTTGATATTGGCGGTTCTGCTAAGGGTTGAATCGTGAATCGTGATCGGTGCTGAACGGTGGACGCTTGGAATCCGCATGAAGTGAAGGACGTGCAAGTCGTCCCGATATTCGATACAATGCTAAACGGTGAAATGGATATATACACTGGCTGAATAAGCTAACTTGTTTGTACCGAAATTAATCAAAATGCACCGCAGGAAACGACCCTAGGAAAAGCGGAACTTGTTTGTTTTGCTTTTGAAAGCTTTGGCATTCGAAACAAAGAGCAAACAGAAGATATCCATTACGTTAGGATGCATTCTTGAGCTCACTATTTCAAGATTCTCCAGCGCCTATAACTCGCAGCGACCGCGTCGCCACGCGCGGAGCGCCGCGAGTCGTCGGCCGACGGGGCCCCGTCACACCGCGACAGCTGCCTGGGTTGTCGCCTCCCGTCCTTCGTCCCCTCGCGCGCTCCGGGAACCCCTCTCGCCCCATCCACACCTTCCGCCGCTTCCGCCGTTTTCCCGCCTCCGCCGCTGGCCGCCGGGCGGAGAAAAGGGACCAGCGGCGCCACGCTCATGTACGTCCTTTCCCAGCCATCGCCCCCCCTCCCCAACCCTCCCTCGCCGTCCCCCAGCCTTCCCCCGCCCCCGCCCGCCGTCATCAGCACCTCCCCCGCCGCCCCGTGCGGGCGCGACCACCGCCTGCCCCCGCCTCTCGCTCTCATCCCTTTTCGCCCTCCCTTCCCCCGTCCCCGTCCTCCCCCGCCCTTCCCCGCCCTCCTCGGCGCTCTTTTGCGGAAGCCACCATCGCCTGCGCTCGCCCCTCGCGCTGCTCCCTCCCCCCCCCCCCCCCCCCTCCTCTCCCCCCTGCCGCCGCCTCACTCTCTCCCCGCCTGCGGCCGGGAAAGCTCCGCCTAACCATTGCGTGCAAAGGGGGGAGGCGAGCAGGCAGTGGGGGGTAGGTGCGCAGGGAAATGGGGGAGGCGCGTGCACAAACCATCCGCACATGCTGCTTCCCGTGCTGATATATGAAACTCCAATCGCCGACCAAAACTCCTATCCTTCTCTCCGCCACCCCTCTCCCCTGCAGGCAGCCACGCCAACGCGCCCTGCCCTCACCACACTGCGCCAGTGCGACGCGCTTCCGCCCACTCCTCCTCTCAAAGGAGAGGCCCCTGTAGCAGCTGCAAGCAGGTGGTGGAGCAGCTTGGGACCAGGCTTGGGAGAAGCCTTGGGAGCAGCCTTGGGTGCAGCCTCGGGAGCAGGCTTGGGAGCAGCCTCGGGAGCAGGCTTGGGAGCGGGCTTGGGAGGAGGCAAGGGTGGTGGGTTGGCCCTGGAGGAGCAGCAACAGCGAGTAGGAAGCAGCGAGCAGTAGGCGCTGATTAGTGAGCAGTGAGCAGGGAGCGAGCAGGGCGATGGGAGCGCCGAAGCAGAAGTGGACGGCGGAGGAGGAGGGTGCACTGAGGGCTGGGGTGGACAAGTACGGCCCGGGCAAGTGGCGCGCCATTCAAAAGGACCCTGCTTTGGGGCCGCTGCTGACTCATCGATCCAATGTTGATCTTAAGGTGCGCCCACCGCAAGTGCTGCTGGACTCAAGGTGCATGTGCGCTGGGGTGAGGGCAAGTAGCGTGCCATTCAAATGGACCCTGCCCTTGGGTCCTTGCTCACGCACCGCTCTAATGTGGACCTAAGGTTTGTTAGCCTGGGGTGTGGTGGGGTGTGGCCTCAAGATGAACCGGCCTGGACAAGTGGCGCAACATTTATCCTCAAGATGCACCTCCCTCCCACCCAACAGGACAAATGGCGCAACATGACAGCAGCAGCCACTGGCGGCAGCAGCAGCGCCAGTGCAGTGGTGCCCGTGCCGCGAGAACGGACTCCCAGGGAGCAACAACTGCCCCAAACCCCACCCGTCCTCCTTTCTCCCTCACTTCCTCCTCCCCCTCCCGCCACAGGATAAATGGTGCAACATGACTGCAGCAGCCACTGGTGGTGGCAGCAGCGCCCATGCAGCGGTGCCCGTGCCACGGGTGCGCGCCCCCAGGGAGCAGCGGGCGGCAGCAGCAGCAGTGCACACCCCTCTACATCATTACGCCCCTCTCCCTCACTCCCCTCTCTTCTGAACCTCCACAACCCCCCAGCTTCCTCCGCTCTTCCCTCCATCCTTCTCACTCCAAACCCCTCCTCCTACCTTCCCCCCTCCACAGGACAAATGGCGCAACATGACAGCAGCAGCCACTGGTGGCAGCAGCAGCGCCCATGCAGCGGTGCCCGTGCCACGGGTGCGCGCCCCCAGGGAGCAGCGGGCGGCAGCAGCTGCAGCGCACACCCCTCTACATCATTCCGCCTCCGCCCCTCTCTCTAACTCCCCTTTCTTCCGAACCTCCACACCCCCCGCTTCCTCCCCTATTCCCCCCATCGTTCTCGCTCCAAAACTCCTCCTCCTACATTCCCCCCCCCCCCCCCCCCCCCCACACTACAGGACAAATGGCGCAACATGACAGCAGCCGCCACTGGCGGCAGCAGCAGCGCCAGTGCAGTGGTGCCCGTGCCACGCGTGCGAGCCCCCAGGGAGCAGCGGGCGGCAGCAGCAGCAGCACGCGCTGAGCTGGCAGCAGTCGTGGCGATGGAGGAGGAAGAAGACGCCCTATTGGCCGCCGCTGCTGCTGGCAGCGATGCTGACGTGGCTGATGGTGGTGCTGACGATGGTAGTGGTGCTGCTGATGCGGATTATGCTGGTGGGGGGGGCGAGGGGGTGTAGGGGCGGGGGAGAGCGGGTCAATGGGCGGGGCTGCTGGGGGGACGGATGGTGAAAGGGGGGGAGAGGGTGTGGGGGGCGGCAGTGCGAGCAGTGGGCGCACTGGCAGTCGAGGGGGGGCGGGGGAGGAGGGGACGTGGGCCGTTGTACCATCTGCTGCTGCTGGCGCTGCTGGCATGGGCCTGCCTGTGACCAGCAATGCAAGGTAATGTGTCTGTGCTGTTGCTGCTGGGTGTAGCGAGATTGTGTGAGGCATCGGTGTGATGCAATGCAATGCAACAACGCCGTTGCTGGTGCTTCCCTCTTGATGCTTGCTGCTTGCCGCTCATAACATTCAAGGAGCAGCACCCATCAGCGGTGGGAGGCACAGCGTGGCTGCAGGTTTGAAGACTGTTAGCAATGTAGACATGTGGAATTTGAACTTATGGGATTTGCTGGTGCTTGTCTCTTGTTGTTTGCTGCCTACGTTTTCATTTTGGCATGCTACTGCATGGCTTGAGAGTGACATGGCATGACATGGTACGACATGGCACGGCATGGCAGGTTGGATGAGGCGATCATGATGGCAGTGGCATCGCTGGAAGGCTCACAGGCAGCACATGGGTGCTCCGCTGCAGCTATTGTGAAACACATTGAGGTGTGCCCTTGCTTTAAGAGAATCAACTGATGGCTCTGACTCGATCCACCACACCGCGCCGCATCGCATCGCACCACACCACACCACACCACACCACACCACACCACACCACGCCACACCACACCACACCACACCACACTACATCACATCACATCACATCACACATCACGTCACGTCACAGCATATCACATCACACCTAATCTCAAGTCACTGCATCGCATCACACCGCACCTCATCACTCCACATCACATCGCATGCCGATGATACCACATTCCATCATCGCACTGCACCACGCTGCTCGGCGCATCACAAATCCCCCCCCCTCCTTGCCCCATTCCCCCACCTCTCCCCTCCCCCGACTCCCCCCCAGAACAAGCATGCATCACCATCCGATCCGCACTGCCCGTGAAATTCGCTGGCAGTACCAATCCCGCTTCCCACTCATTCTTCTGGTTCCCCCCCTTCCCCCCACCTCCTCTCGCACCCCTCCCAGGACCACCATGCATCACCACCCAATCTGCGCCGCCTCGTGCCGCATCGCCTCAGAGCACTCTCAGAGGAGGGCTGCTTGGTAAAGGTGAGAGCTGGCAGGGCTGCCTGGTGAAGGTGAGAGCCGGCTGCTGCATTCACCATCATGCCATCATCCCATCATCCCATCATGCCATCATCCCATCATCGCATCATGCCATCGTGATCGCATCGCCTCAGAGCACTCTCAGAGCAGGGCTGCCTGGTGAAGGTGAGATCAGGGTTGCCTGGTGAAGGTGAGATCAGGGCTGCCTGGTGAAGGTGAGATCAGGGCTGCCTGGTGAAGGTGAGATCAGAGCTGCCTGGTGAAGGTGAGATCAGAGCTGCCTGGTGAAGGTGAGATCAGGGCTGCCTGGTGAAGGTGAGATCAGAGCTGCCTGGTGAAGGTAAGAACAGGGTTGCCTGGTGAAGGTGAGATTATGGTTGCCTGGTGAAGGTGAGATCAGGGTTGCCTGGTGAAGGTGAGATCAGGGCTGCCTGGTGAAGGTGAGATCAGAGCTGCCTGGTGAAGATGAGATCAGGGTTGCCTGGTGAAGGTGAGATCAGAGCTGCCTGGTGAAGGTGAGATCAGGGTTGCCTGGTGAAGGTGAGATCAGGGCTGCCTGGTGAAGGTGAGATCAGGGTTGCCTGGTGAAGGTGAGATCAGAGCTGCCTGGTGAAGGTGAGATCAGAGCTGCCTGGTGAAGGTGAGATCAGGGTTGCCTGGTGAAGGTGAGATCAGGGCTGCCTGGTGAAGGTGAGATCAGGGTTGCCTGGTGAAGGTGAGATCAGGGTTGCCTGGTGAAGGTGAGATCAGGGCTGCCTGGTGAAGGTGAGATCAGAGCTGCCTGGTGAAGGTGAGAGTCCATGCCGTGATCCCATCATGCCATTTTCCCACCGTGCCATTGTGCTCCGTTGCCATTCGGAAATCGTACGCCCGCCCACCTCCCGCATGGCCGCTACCTTCAACACCTCCCACTCCTCCCTCTTCGGCTTTTGAGACGCCTCAAAAACCCCCGCCTCACACCCACATGACCAATACCTCCACCCCTTCCCACCCTCTTCACTCACAGATGCGTAATGGAACCCCCTTCTATCCCCATTGTCAGGCGAAGTATTGGCACCTTCAGAACGGGGATAGAAGGGGGTCCCATTAGCACCTTCCCACCTTCACTACTTGCCTGACATACTCACACCCTCGTACTGCCAATCCCTGCTGTTCCCCCCTTCCACTGGCACGTGAAACAGCTTTACTACCTGCCTCGCACGTCTGCCCCTCCACTCTAACCCTCTCCCAGTGGCGGGCAAATGCCCTGCTTGCCTCACATGCTCGTAATACCGACCCTTTCTGTGTCCCCCACCCACTGGCAGGTGAAGCAGCTATACTACCTGCCTCGAAACGCACCTCTGGCCCTCCTACCTCACTCCCACTCGCACACCCACTCTCACGCCCACACCCATGACCAAGGGCAAGGGCAAGGCCAAGGGCTAGTGCAGGTGCATTCTCCCGCATCTGTTCGGAGGGCACGGGGGGAAAGCAGGCGGGCTAGCTGGCATGGAGAGGGACTGGAAGGGGAGGGTGCGGGGAGAGGGGTTTGGGGAGGGAGTGGGAAGGGGGAGAGTGAGGAAGGGAGGGGCGAGTGGGGCAGCCGGGGGAGTGTGAGGAGGAGGGATGCTCGCAGTGGCCGAGTGGGGAGTGGGAGTGTCGCAGAGAGGGCAGGGGAGGGCAGGGCCAGTGGGGCAGCAGCAGAGGGAAGGGTGGCTGCTGCTGCTGCTGCAGCTGCAGCAACAGCGGCAGCAGCAGGAGCATCAGGCATGCGTTCTACAGCTGCTCTTCACTCCTCTTTTCCCTCTGCCTTATCTGCCCCTACTGCTGCTGCTGCCACTGCTGCTCCAGTGGATATGATATCAGCAGACCTGTCGCAGGCGCACCTCGCTCCTCTGCATGGCACTCACATTGCACCTCCCGCTACTGCTGCCGCCGCTGCTGCTGCTGCAGCAGCAAGCACGGGTGGTGCTGCGGCCAGTGCACCTCCTGTGGGGCATTTCAAGAAGCACCACCGCTTTCCCTCGCAACAGCCGGCAGAAGCAGGAGGAGCGAGCAGGAAAGCTCCTGGCGCGTCACTCCCTTCTCAGAACGAAGCTGGAAGAGCGGGAGAGCACATGGGAGACGGAGCAGTGGAGGGGGGAGCGGTAGGGGGAGCGGTGGGTGCAGGGCAGAGTGAGTGGGTGCAGCAGCTGGCGCGAATGGCCGCAGAGGCAATGGCAGAGGCGGAAGCAGCAGTGGCAGAGGCAGAAGCAGCAGTGAGAGAGGCAGAGGCTTTAGAGGCTGAGGCAGAGGCAGCAGAGGCAGCAGCGCGGGAGCTTGAGGGTAAAAGGCAAACTGCTGCTGTCAGCTCATAGCATGTCATTACTGCTGTCAGTGTGGGTGTGGTTGACAGCAGCAGCTGCTGCCCCTGCAGCAGCTTGCTTGCAGAAGTGGCAGCAGAGGCAATGGCAGAGGCAGAGGCAGCAGTGGCAGAGGCAGAGGCAGCAGTGGCAGAGGCAGAGGCAGCAGTGACAGAGGCGGAGGCGGCAGTGACAGAGGCAGAGGCATTAGAGGCTGAGGCAGAGGCAGCAGAGGCAGCAGCGCGGGAGCTGGAGGGGAGAAGACACGCTGCTGCTATCAGCTCATAGCAATTCGGAAGTGGCAGGGCATGGGGCAATGTGACAGAGGCGGAGGCGGCAGTGAGAGAGGCAGAGGCATTAGAGGCATTAGAGGCATTAGAGGCATTAGAGGCATTAGAGGCATTAGAGGCATTAGAGGCATTAGAGGCATTAGAGGCATTAGAGGCATTAGAGGCATTAGAGGCATTAGAGGCATTAGAGGCATTAGAGGCATTAGAGGCATTAGAGGCATTAGAGGCATTAGAGGCATTAGAAGCAGCAGAGGCGGCAGCACGGGAGCTTGAAGGGAGGAGGCGCGCTGCTGCTGTCAGCTCGTAACCATCACAAAATGTCATCCATCAATAACTGGATGTCACCCCCGTGTGTTCTTGTGAGGTGGAGGTGTTATGGGAGAGGCATGATGTGATGGCAGTGGAAGGGAATCCGTCCGTACCGGGTATTATTTCGTATAGAGGACCCCTAAGAGTAAAGGTCAACTAGAGAGATTCAGGGTAATTTTTGGGTTTGGGAGGTGGCGGTGGTGCACTCCAGAGAGTCCACAATTTTTCTGATACCGTATCCAACCGAATGTACCATATTCTATACTCCCTTGCAGAATACCGCGCCCTTGCCGATGCTGAAGAGTCGCTCCATTGGGACAGTAACAGGGCAACCGAAACAGGCTGCGCTTAACTCAATGTACATTGCTTGCATCTCTTTTGTTACACGATTGTCACACTTGTGTTTGGCAAACTCTCAGCCGCCACTTTGGCACCACGTTACCACCAAGCCAGGAAAGCTACCTTTGAGTAACCATAGCACCGCTGCAGGGTCGTCGTTAACTTCCTGGAGCTTTTCCGCTGCGCTCTGCGTCTTATTAGTTTTGAACACAACGAACAGAAATTTTATGAAAGTTAGCTGGAAACTGATTTACCGGTAGTTTCTGAAATGTGTATGAATCCACTCTTTTTTTAATACCGTATGCTACTCTCTGTTTTTTATTGAAGCTTTGTTCATGGAAACAATGGTGACAGCTGTGGCGAGTCTGGATTTGCATGCAGACAGTTTTCTGGTGGCAGGAGCTGGCAGTGCTACTTAGTTTAGGACGCGTGCTCACCAGCAGATGGGTTAGTGGTTAGACGAATCGCTGCTGGTCCCAGCTAGATAAGAGGTCGCACATTTGTGCGAATTCTACTAAATCGCCTTGCAGTAGCCTCGTGGTTTTCTCGAACTGCCGCGACATCGCAGACAGTGCATGACGAGAAAACGTTCTCGCCGCTGCATGCCGGCTATGTGTGCGGGCTAGGTTGCTATAACATGGCGTGAGACTTTGCCTTAGCCTTCGCCTCGGCCTTTGCATTTATAAGGCCTTACAGCTCGTCACAAGCTGAGCGCCCTCTGCTAGCGTTTTCAGACACTTCGTATTTTCTAAGCGTGGTACGACATGACTTCTTGCACAAGCATCAACAGCCTACCTGATGACATCCTCCTTAGGATCCTATGGCGTCCGGAGAGACGCTTTCACTGCAGATCCGACGACTCTGTTCTATTGTCCAATCACACATTTCATTTTCTACAGCCGACGCCGAAGTGCATGGGAACAACCCTCGCGCCGTGGACGGGTCTTTTCCGTCATAGGCCCGACTTTCATTTCCCCGCCCCTCCCGTCGACGCAGACGCCGCTTACACTCTTCTTATCGCCTCAGTCTGCCGTCGATGGCGTCAGCTTGTTAAGGACAACGTCACCGCGCTCCTCCTAAGGGACGAGCGCCAGGTGCCTCTCGAGCATCTCACCCAAGCCTTCAACCTCTTTCCGAATCTCACAGATCTTCATCTGGGTGATTCCAGCGTCCAAGGCATCGACGATGCGTTTCTAGCTCACCTCGCTTCCGCATGCCCTAATCTGTCTGCTCTCTCTGTGGGGAATGGGAACATAGCTCGCCTTTTCAAGAAGGATCTTGATGATCAACCGGTAACCACAGCCGGTTTGGATCGTTTCTTCCGCAACTCCTCACAGCTGCAGCATCTGTCACTCCCCCACCGAGCCAAGCTACCAGCATCATTCCTTAAGATGTCGTGTTTGCGCTCTCTGATTGTCTCCACAGATGACCAGCAGTTTTGGGAGGCTCTGAAGCATATTAGATTGCCTTTTCTTGCCTCTCTTCGAATGCAAGGCTCAAACGTGGATTTTGAGCAGCTTTCGAGTCTCGTTCACCTCACCAACCTCACCAGTCTCTTCGTGCCCAGTGTTGTCGGTTCCAATTCAGAAACAGCTCTGCCCACTAATCACTTCTTCTTCGCGCAGCTGCAATCGCTTGAGTCTCTGAGGCTTGGTTTTCGCGGCATAACCTTTGACAGGATGTTTCCTGTAGGATCGGCCTGCATTCGCCTGAAGCGGCTCAACCTCGTCTTATGCAGCTCGTTGCAGTTTCCGGATGAGATTGGGGAGTTGCTGCCATCCCTACAGGAGTTGACAGCAACATTCTGCACTTTTCGTGCTCCCTTGCCACAGCAGTTCACCACCCTCCGCTGTTTGTACAACTTGATACTTAGTGCATGCAACGTGCTCCTGCCTGGAAACTTCGGCAAGCTGCCCGCTTTGAAAACTCTCGCACTGGTTTCGCTTCCGCTCTCAACTCTCCCTGCCACATTCTGTCAACTCACCTCCCTGGAAACGTTAGTTTTGAGCCGCTGTCAAGATTTCCAACAGTTGCCACGCCATTTTTCTGCGCTCACAGGCCTGAAGACCTTGTGCTTCATGAAAATGCCGGATCTGAGTCTTCCAGAGGGTATTGGAGAGCTGGCAAACCTACAAACGTTCATTCTCCGCTCCAGTAACACGGGCCCGTTTGTTTTCCCTCCTTCGTTCTCCTGTCTGTCTAGCTTGGCAAGGCTGGAACTGGACGGGTGCTTGGCATCTGAACTTCCGCAGGGCATGGGCAGCTTAACCAAGCTGCAGGAAGTGTACATCCATTCTTGCCCTAACATCAGGGAGCTCCCAGAATCCATCGTGTCGTGCATGGGCCTCCAAGTTTTAAGCATCTGTGACTGTAGCGGCCTCAGTTCAGTGCCAAGGAGTTTGGACAGGCTTACAAGGTTGACTAAGTTGGAACTGAGTGGATGCAACCAGCTGACAGCTGTCCCAGAAAGGTTGCCAGGCTCGCTGGAGGTCCTAGGTTTAGGGAACAAAGAGAGGACTGTTCGACTGCCAGATATTTCCACGTTGACGAAGCTGAAACAGCTGAGCTTGGGAATCATCAACGTCACAGATGGGCTGGCTGTAAGCAGGAGCCTCTCCAATCTGAAACATTTGGCGCTGTCGGTGGTAGAAGGTTCAACGGAGCTGCCGTTTCCCCTGGCTTATCTTTCCAGCCTCCGCAGCTTGACAATTCGGGATGCTGGAAGCATGAAGAAGATTCCAGAGGACCTAAGCTCGACCTTGCAGCACCTCCGAGCCCTGGTCATACTTCGTGCTGACGAATTGAAGGAGCTTCCAGAATCGATCACAGAGTTGCAGCAGCTGAGAACGTTACGGGTTCACACGCAAAATTTGGCCTGCCTCCCTGCAAAACTCTATGCGCTATCTAGGCTGCGTACACTGGACCTTTCCGACTGCTCATCTCTGATATGTTCCTTTTCCTCCTCTCACCCATCTATCCTGCCCCGCTACTATGGAGGCAGCCGATTGCAGCAGCTGTTTGCCACACTTCACAATGCTGAGCAGCCTCATGAAACTTAACATGGATATTTGCCAGTGGCTGGAGCCTAGAGGTTGCTTCAGGGGATTAAGAAACTCCAGCTTGATTAATTTCACAAATGCTATATGTGTATGGATGCTTATTAGGGGTTGTACAGTTCAGAAGCATTTACAATCAGACACTCTAGGCTATCAGCGCTGCCTCTTGCTTTCTAGTGCGCAAGACTAAAACATACCGTAATTGCCCGGATATAAGACATATATGTCTTATCTCGTACACGGGCAAAAATGCTTGAGTTATCTTGTAAACGGGATGGTTTAGGGTGTCTTAGACGATAAATCATATAAATGGACAAAGAACCGTTTAGAAGATACCCCCTCGCTATACATTTGCCCCTAACTCCTACACTTTCTTAACCCGTACACACAAATAGGTGTCTTATAATGAGGCTAGCCTGTTTATAAGAGACACCCGTATAATAGACAACCCCTGTCTACTATTCAACACTGTCTTATATCCGGGTGATGATGGTACACGAGTTTTGCTTTCAGTATGGGTGTGGTTAGCAGCAGCTGCTGCTGCCTCTGCAGCAGCTTGCTTGCATGAGTGGCAGCAGAGGCGATGGCAGAGGCAGAGGCAGCAGTGGCAGAGGCAGAGGTAGCAGTGAGAGAGGCAGTGGCATTAGAGGCTGAGCTGAGGCAGAGGCAGCAGAGGTGGCACCGAGGGAGCTGGAGGGGAGGAGGCACGTTGTTGCTGTTAGCTCATAGCTTTTCAGTCTTCACTGCTGCTGTTAGCTCATAGCCCTGATACGGTATGCAGTTTGGGAATTATTGACCGGAAGAATAAAGTGGGTGCTAACATGGCCACCACATGTGTTGTATGGAGGCGTGAGGTGAGTCTCAGTAAGTGGCTACAGCGGAATGAGTTGCATTAGAAGGATTGGGGTACATATTCCTACCTCTAACTGTTTGTACCCCCTACTGCACAACCCACTAATGGCTAGAATATTTGACACACCCCCATAGCCTAAGTGGGGAGTGCAAAGTAACAACAAACAACCTAAGGTCACAAGACCAGTCACAAACAAAAGACAAAACAAAGCTCAGGGTGGATCACAACGTCACTACACAGTCTGAGCGTAAACAGCGGCTCAAGGCCAGTTCAAGAGTGATATATACAGTACAAGCAAAGACAAGAGACAAGCACTCACTACTGCAGTCTACTCGACCCAGTCTCAACGAGGCCCAACTGCAGACACAACCAGCGGTGGTCACAAGGCTGAAGAGCCTTGGTGAAGATGTCTGCAGTGTTGGCCTCGGAGGCCACGAAGTCCAGACGAGCCTGCCCGCGTCTCTGCAACTCTCGAAGGAGGAAGTACCTGACGTCGATATGCTTCACTCTGCTCTCCAGTCGAGGCTCACGACACAGGAGAATCATCGCCCTGTTGTCAGCAAACAGGGTCGGTGCAGAGCTCGGCCGCTCACCAAGGTCAGTGAGCAAAAAGGTCAACCAGCGTAGCTCCTGAGCAGCAAGGGCTCCAGCGTAGATCTCGGCCTCTGCGGTAGAAGTCGCAACAGAGGAGGACCGAGTAGACCTCCACGAAACAGCTCCAGAACCCAGGCTGAAACAGTAACCCTGCGTAGACCTCTGAGTCTCAACGTCGTCGGCGTAGGAGGAGTCGCAGTGACCGGTGAGTACAACTGGCTGTGTCCCTCCAAGTACAAGCCCCATGTCTGATGTCGCGCCGAGGTACTTCGCCACCCTCTTAGCCGCCGCCCAGTGAACAGGACGGTGTCTCCCAGTCGCAACAAAGCGAGAAAGGATGCTAAGAGGGAAGGCGAGGTCCGGGCGAGTGCACGTCATCAGGTACATGAGGCAGCCCACTAGCTCTGCGTAGGGACCACTGGGCTCGAACGGCTCGTCAGGAAAAGGCCCAGTGAGTCTGTGGTCTACAGCAAGAGGAGTGGGTGTAGGAGAAGAGTCCTGAAGCCCGAACCGCTGAAGGACCTGCTGCACCATGTGTGACTGAGTCAGAGTGATGGTGCGAGCGGCTCTGTCCCTGGAGATCTGCAGGCCAAGGTAGCGGCGCAGTTCCCCAAGGTCAGTGCAGGTGTGTCTCTTCTGCAGTTCGGACTTCACATCCGCCAGTGCAGCTATGTCGGCTGTGGTAAAAACCAAGTCGTCAACGTAGACCAGAACAAAGAAAGGTGTGCGCCCACGACGAACAAACAGCGACGGGTCGGCGGAAGACGGCTCAAACCCGAGGTCGGAGAGAGTAGAGCGGAGAGTGTCGTGCCACTCACGGGGTGCCTGACGGAGACCGTAGACCGGTCGTCTGAGGCTCCACTGGGTCCCAGGCGGGAAAGTGCCAGTGAAGCCCGGAGGACGACGCAGCCAGATCTCCTCGTGTAGGCGGCCCTGGAGGAAGGCAGTGGAGAAGTCAAGAGAGTGTAGCTCGTAGTCTCTCTGCGCTGCTACGTGCAGTAACACCCGAAGAGTGGTCATCTTCGGGGTGGGCGCGAAGGTCTGAAAGAAGTCAACTCCCTCACGCTGACTGAACCCTCTAGCCACGTAGCGTGCCTTGAAGACTGGGGGAGATCCCGGTGGTCGCTTCACCTTGAAGATCCACATGCCATCAACGATGTTCGCCCCTGGAGGGGGAACCTCGTCGACGTAGGTGCATGTGGACCTGTAGGAGGCCATCTCTGCGTCCATGGCAGCTCTCCACTGAGAGGCCCAAGGCCCTGACACTGCCTCAGCATAAGTGCGAGGAGTAGGTATGTCAGGAGCGTCGGGGTCTCCCTCAGGAGCGAGGAGCATGGCACAGAGATGAGGCGAAGCAGCTGCCAGGAACTCTAGCTCAAACTGTCTGTCCTCTAGGACGTCACAGCCAAGGGCAGACTCACCCCCGGCGGACAGAGGACGGACAGGAGGAGCGGCCACAACACGGATGGCGTAGTCAAGGCGATGCGTAGCAGTAAAGTCAGTGACAGTGGCAGTGAGGACCGCGACGGAGGAAGGAGAGGCACGAGGGTCTGTAACAAGAGAGGCGAGAACACGAGAGAGAGAGTGGGGCGGTACGTGCGGTAGTAGTCAGTGACCGGAGTGGACAGGGAGGCAGTGAGGGACGACTCAGGAGGACGAGGAAGAACAGACTGAGGAGGACGAGGAGGACTAGAACGAAACAACACGGTACGGAGGTCAGTGACAGGTGACGAGGGACGAGCACAAAGAGGACGAGAGGACCAAGTGTGGGTGAGAGGAGGGGGAGACGGAGGAGACTGAGAACGAGGGAACACAGCCGGAGCTGAGTCCGGAGGAGGAAACGTAGGACCAAACACAGGAGGAGAGGAGGGTAGACCTAGGGCCCGAAGGCCAAAAACAAGGGCCGGAGGCTGCTCCAGCTGCTGCTGCTGCTGCTGCGGCGGCTGCTGCTGCTGCTGCGGCGGCGGCGGCGGCTGCTGCTGCTCTCGCTGCAACTCCAACCTCTCACGCTCCACCCGCTGCTGAACCTCCAACCTCTCACTCTCCACACGCTGCTGCTCCTCGCGCGCAAGACGAAGACGGGCCTGGTGTCGAGTCGGGTAGGGGTGAGGAGGAGGAGTGGTGTCAGGAGACGACGAAGAAGAACCGGCTCCACCCTCGACAGGACCCGGCTGAGCACCCCCAGAGCGAGTACCCCCTGCGGCAGCACGACCAGTACCTGTAGGAGGTGTACCCGCACCCCCAGTCGTGGTGCCTCCAGTGGCACCAGCACCAGCCCCAGACTCTCCAGCTCCAGAAACACCACCAGCTCCAGCACCACCACCAGCTCCAGTACCCTCGGAACGGGCAGCCGCGGCAGGTGCACGCTCAGCGCCAACGCCAACACCCCCAGAACGAGCACCGCCAAAGCCCTCACCCCGAGCACCAACACCCTCAGAGTCCGCAGTGGCCGGTAAAGGAAGCGCTGACGGCTGCTGCGGAGGCTGTGAGGACGACTGTGGGGAAGGAGGAGAGACCTGGGGGGGTACCGAGGGGGGGGGAGTAGCGTGGGACACACCAGACGGAGCAGGACCAGGGGGGGGTATCGGAGGAGCAGGGGCAGGAGGAGGAGGAGCTGGAGTAAGGAAGAGGGGAGGGGGGGGAACCGGGAGACCTCGACAGGGGTACCTGACGTAGTAGGGGACGGACTCGTCGAAACGGACGTCACGAGAGTTTAAGAACCGGTGGGAGGGAGGGTGGTAAAAGGTGAAGTCAGAGGAGTCCTCTGGGAAACCAAGGAAGACACAGGGGACAGCGCGGGGTGAGATCTTGTCCGCGGAGGTGTCGCGGACAAGAGCCAAGCAGCCCCAGACACTAAACCTCGACGCAACACCAGGGGACCCTGTCCAAAGATTGGTCGCTGAAGCCCCTGGCCAAGAGATACGAGGCCAGAGGTTCAGCTGGTGAGCGGCGTACCGAGCCGCGTAGGGCCACAGAAATGTGGCGCGCGGGTGTGGATCATGGAGGTGCGGGCGATCTCCATGACCAGGCCTAAGCGGCGCTCAGCAACCCCATTCTGCTGTGGAGAGTCTGGAAGAGTCCAGGACTGGGTGATGCCCTGCTCAGCACAGAATCTGGCGAGAATGCCGGAGCGAAACTCACCCTCACGCTCGGAGTGGAGACAACTGGCACGACGACCTCGAGTACCCTCGGTGGCGAGCAGCCACCGGATCAGCGTAGAAGTCACGTCGGACTTCTTCGCCAAAGGGAACACGGTGGTGTACCGAGAGTAATCGTCAACGACCACCAGAAAGAAACTCTCCCGCTCTGGGAACACGGTGGTGTACCGGGAGCGGGGCCCCAGACGTCTAAGTGGAGTGTCTGGAAGGGCTCGGTGGCCGGACGAAGGGAGGAGGAGTGGGGGGTGGCGCGCAACCGACCCTGGACACAAGGACCGCACGGAGGAGCTGGGGACGGCGGGAACGGCAGGAGGACTCGGGGGAGGCCTAAGACAAGACGCTGACTGGACATAGCACGGAGACGAGGGAGGGAAGGGTGACCAAGGCGGTGGTGCCAG